TTACAAGTAAGACCCTGTTAAGCTTTTACTTAGTGACACTTGTTACCAAAAAAATTAATTAATTTATAATTTATGACTTAAAGAGATGTTAGCTTCATATTAACATCGTTTGTTTGCCCAAGCGTTACTTTACAGAAAAAAATGCTGTTCCATCTACATGATTTATATTGCAAGCTAGTTGCTTAAACTTCTTGCATCTTGAGTGTAGTACTAGAAAACTTTCTAGCCAGATATCCTTGCTGCTACTTGAGATGACACCAGCATAAGGTCTTTCTTTGTGCCCTAGTTGCTTGGCTCCCTCGTTGCTGAAATTTTTGAGGCCATGACTATGAGATCTAGCTTTACAGGCATCTTTAGTACCACGCGCCCCTTGTATCGATTTTTGGCTTCCTTGAAGTAATGACCTTCTCGTAAGAGTCACCAACTTGGACCACGTCACCATGTACCCCTTTAACCTATGAAGAGTGTCCTTAAGTTCAGCTAGCTGCTCTCTGAAGATCCCACTCACTATTTTCGGAGATATATAGCAACTACCATATGTTACATGATCACACCTCATCTACACGAATCTGCTTCTGTCTTCAGTGTCAGATATGGAGAACTTATCACTACAGACCAGGAAAGCTGTACATCCAGTCCTGTTGCTTAACCAGCCTTGACCTGGTATCTTGCAAGATTGCTCATTTATATAAAGCAAGCAATATACGCTGACTATGAAAAAACTTGTCCTGTGTTTTGTGAGCAAGCACGGTTCTATCAAAGTTAATTTGCAGGCTATGCCATCTTGGCTGAGCTACCTACACAGATGCCTAATATAAATGACACCCAGCTTTCTGCTCTCATATTCTTAATATATGCCACACCCTCCCATAGCCTAGCCATAATGACAATTTTTACCAGGGTAAAAAATTCAGTAAAAGTTTTGCCCTTTACTGGCTTGACCAGGATGGCTTTGGGCGTAGCCTCCAATGCTTTTTTTTGGTGGTCTTTGAGGTCTATTAGTTACCTGATATTTGCCTGTCTTTAGTTAATTTGTTCTTTCCCTTTTTCTGAACCCTTGTCAATTCTTCTTTTTTAGCTCAGGTGTAAGCCGTAATTCATTCTGGTTGTAGCTGAAGGCTGAAGCCTTTGTAAGATTTTTTTTTAGTCTAACGATTTTTTCTTTATGCTTTTATTTTCTTTTTATCTTTTTTTGTTGCCTTTACTGCAGTAGGGCGTAAAAACGAGTCAGCCCAACTTATGAGCTTTGCTTGCAGGTGCTCAAGGGTAATAACCACAGCTACAGCCGTCGTTATCTTATTGTTCATGGTAGTTGCCATGTTTTTAAACTTTACAATAACGCTAATAAGCTGCAATACTATCTTTACAAGCATATTAAACGCAGAGTCTGTACTCTTTATGAGTTGGACCTTCTAACCAGACTTGTGTACTTCAGTAAAGATAGAGACAAGTGACTTGATTGTAGTCTGCCCACTCTTGCTCATATCTTCTATTTTCTCATACTATGATTGTGATTTTAATATTAATACTTGCAAGAAACAAGTTGCATCCCAAGATCTGCAGTGATTCACATAAATCTAGACATCACGGCAAACACCGCTAGATTTCTACTCTTGGCCAAGGACAATTTTTTTGTAGGAGTTTCCAGGAACAGTAAACTGGTTAATGGGGTACAGAAAACGTGTCTGTATGAAAATTTTTCGTACCACTACACCCCTAGTCATCAGCTAGAGACAGAAAACCACCATTCTACCCACTTCAGCTAAGCAAGAGGGTACCCACTTGTGCACACTATAGGTGACCTCTGTATAGTCCATTTATAGTCAAAATCATAAATTTATAAGCTAACCACATCTTTTTTATTAAACGTACAAGTTTTTTAGCATCAGGGATATCTGGCCCTGCCCAGGCACCACATCCGCTCTTACCTCCAACTTCTATACTGGTAAGTAAGGGGGTGGTGCCAGATTCCGTTTGTTAGCCAAGGCCATCTCGGGTACAGTAGTGTGTCAGTTCAGTGCATGAAAACGTTTCTAAGATGATGTTGAAAAATAAAAAATTTAATAGCAATGCCAGAAAAGATGGTGTCTTCTTGTCTGACCTTGGGTTCAAACAATACGGTCTTTGTCAAGATAACGCACAATTATAGTAAAGAGTACTTACAAAGTTTTATGACATCCAAACCCAGTGCAGTTCACTCCATGTTCCTTTGGCTCGAAAGTTGAAGGAAAAGACTCAATTTTATAATGGTTCAACCATTCTGGCCAAAAACATGCGAGTTTTATTTCTTTACTAAGACTTTTTTTATAAAATGTTCATTGGAAATTACACTTTTGTGTATGCAAAGTAATATGCCACTAAAATATAAAAGTTATTAAAGTGATAGATAAACTTTACTGATTTAAAATTGGGAAGTCCAGAATAAAAGTTAAAGTTAAATGCGATTGCGTAGGCTTGTCAGCTCTTACTTCATCTTGATCTACAAAGGTTGTATATTTTTCTTGCGATGCAGACAAAGCTCATTTGAATACAATGCGTTATAGTCACAATAATAAAAATCATTAAAGTAATAATATAAGATGTAAATACACCTTTTTATGATAATTCAGATTAAATGTTCGGTTAAATAATTAGGTACACTTAAAAAAATAGATTCAACTATACAAGAAATAATAATCATAATGAAGATGATAATAACAATAATAATAATTATCGGAATAATAGTAAAGATTCTAATAATAACGGTCATAATAATGTAATAATAGTATATAATAATAGTTACAATAGTGACAATAATGATAATAATAGTAATAATAACGAAAATACTGATAAAAATAGGTATATTGATAAAATAAAATATAATATTGGTTAATAATAATATAACTAAGAATATTACTGTACTCGACAACTATATTCGATAAGAATTTTTCTTCAAAATTGCATATGTATATAGGTTCAAAGAAAAAGTGAAAGCTGATTTTTAAGAAGATTCGTTTGCTATAAACATTATTCAATAAATTAATAATTTTTTTGACTAATATAGTCTGCTTGCATTTCTTGAATTTACTAACAATACCTATCACTGAAAAAAAGTGAATGATAAAGAAAATTCTTGAATAGGGCAATAGAATAACCAAGATTCTGACAAAAATCGGTGGTTTGTACCGCTTAGATGAATTTATTGAAATCCTTCTTTGCAATCTTTAAATGTTGTTTGAAAGAGTTTTTATTGGTTAAATAAAATAATGCTTGTTTTTCAATACGAATTCAAGCTTAGATTTGCTTTCAACGATTTCACACGAAAACAAAGTTCATCTTGCTTCTAACATTTAAAAGAAAATATGGAATTGTTAGAGACAAAGCATGACACTTGACTGTTGGCTTCCGTGTGGACTTAGCTTCTATGTCACTTATTCGTTTCTGAATACACTTAGATTGAATTTTCTCGTAAAATATTTCAGAAATTTTATGTATATTTGTACAATTTTTAAGTATACTCCTATTTTTATTAATAAATTATATCATTAGCCTTTAACTAGCCAGTGTGTCATCTGGAGAACTCCAGTTAATTAATCAGTTTGTATCATCAAACAATGGTGCTGTTAGAGTACTTCAGTAAGTCATGAGGAATAGTATATTACAACTTGAGGTCAGAAAAAAACGGAAAGTCCAATTGTCCTTGTATTGTCATCTAAAGCGCACTTGAGGATAATGAACGGACAATTTAACGCTTCTTTACTTCTGGTTTAAGAGTTATATCCAGGAACCAGTGTTTGATCATGTTCGAGCTCTTGTTAAGTCAACAAATCTCATACTAGTAGATAGAACAGTGAATCAAACTTATTTTACTCAAATATAAGAGACACCTTATTTCACAGCAGTAAAATTTATTCGATCTCACTTACTCTACATGATTTATATTGCAAGCTAGTTGCTTAAACTTCTTGCATCTTGAGTGTAGTACTAGAAAACTTTCTAGCCAGATATCATATCTCTTATAATAAACAAAAGTTTTTGATATTTTAGTTATTTAATAAATTAAGATTCATTAAATTAATGATGTATGTGCACAATGCAAGTTTCTTATACTTCTCATTTTGGTTTATTCTTTTTTGGGTGCNTTTTTTTTTTTTTTTTTTTTTTTTTTTTTTTTTTTTTTTTTGTAATTTAGAGTAATTCTGTATGTGATAAAGTAAATTTTAGATTGCCTTATTGCTTCAATAATCTACTAATAATTTTGTATTTTTATATTAAGCTTGATTTAGCCTAATTGGCAACATGTAAGCGAGTCCAGTGTTGGAATACTGGACATTTTTAATTCCCTCTTATACTTCACAGAACCTTTTATACAACAATTAGATCTAAATTAATTTTTTTTTTAAATCTAGAACACTCATAACATTACGTAACACCAATGTATTTTATATGAGTTGGCAGTACTAGTCAAAAGAGTTTGGATGGTAATTTTACGCGTGCGTACTAGAAAGTATACGACTACGAATGGTAAATGGTATTTTTTTGTGTTAAAAAAAATGAAAAAAAGCTTATGTTTCAATATTAATATTCTTACTTGGAAAATATGACAATTCATTTCAGGTGATCAAACTGATAACCACTCTTAAAAGATTTAAGACGTCTTTAGGCTTCCTAACTCGGTAGATTTATTTTATCAGACCTTTTCTTTATGTTAAAAGGTCATTATTATAAGCCTGTCGATCACTAGTATTGTAAGAATACTGCTTCGTAAAACTTTTACTTTTAAAAGTTCTATTAGTATCTACTTACACCTATATGACACAACCTATCAGCTCTCACTACATCAACTCAATAAATAACAGTATTTATACAAGATTGAGGATGCAATATAAAAAATAGTAAACGTTGTTTAACTTTTCCTAGAAAATTGTTAACAACAAACTTTTTGCTAGCTGAAAACTAAGTGACAAGAATCTAATTTTTTAAATAGAATATCATTTGTTATAACAAACCTTTATGCTCTATTACGTGAAGACTTGTTCCTTTTTTTATTTGATAAACGAAAAATGTACACTAAAGTTTGTTACATTAAAAATTTTTTATGCATTGTAACACCAAATAAATTAAATAAGTCTTGCATATTATAATCATTTTATGATTTAACATTTTACTGGTACGAGATGGCTCATATTTGCATGAGCTGACGACGCATATGTATATGTCTGGGTGAAAACATGAAGTATGTTTAGAAAGACTATTTTGAGAAGATAACATTCCTAGACATACATCGTAAGGCTATCAACGCAAGCTCCGTGTTGTTCATATAGACTTGTAGTAAATTCTTCAGCACTCTTCCGTGTGGCGTCAAATGATACTGCATCATCGACGTACTTACAAACCTGAAAAAAGTCACTCTATTAATAATTTGTTAGAAAATGATGCTTTGTAGTTTCTAGAAATTTTTTTTTTATGACATCAACTAAATGTAGCCAAATGTCAAAAATTCATGTTCCTTAATTAAAAAGATCAGAAGTTGCTTTATGTGTAGAAATATGAATACTGCAATAGTATAATTATTTTATGTAATAACAGCTAATTGACATTTTCTGTCACAGTGACTGTCATTCACTTATGGCTATAGCCATACGTGAGGCTACAAATAAGTAGACAGTGGGTGGCTCGGTACCCAAGCATGAAGTTATACTTCTCTAACAGATAGTCTATGAATGTATGTATGTTATTTATTAAACTGTAGATTGAATATGTTACTGCAATGTATCAAAGATAATAGATTATAAAAGAAAAATGAGAAAATAATCTGTAGAAATTTTCTGATTTTTTTCACAGGATAAAATTTTTTTTACTAGACATATTTTATGCATAAATGCATCCACAAACTAGTTTTACATTAATAAAATAGAATGAGAAAAAATCAGGAATTGAAAAAGTACATTTATGCAAGCAAAATCAGTTCTAGCATAACTTAATATTAGTGCTCCCCTTACTTTCCACAACTTCTCTCCTTACATTAATTAATCTTTCTTCACTTAAAAAGTTGTCTAAGAAACAAAACAAAAATTCTCATACAATAAGACGTAATATAAATCAGTTACTAATTATAAATCTAAAGTATTAAGAGATTTTTGTAAAAATAATCTAAGAGTCGAAGAAAAATAAAGAATTGTAAGATATGTATTAAAAAATGTAAATATGAACTAAAAATTGTTATGAAAAAATATCACTTTATTAAGTAAAAAGTGAACAAATTTCACGAAATTGAAGCAAATTTTTTTTTTTCCTGGTCACATATATATTTTCAAAAGAAAAAAATTTTTTAACTGTTGATTTAATCGAAAGCACAACGTACCTGTAGTAATACCATACTTTTAAAACTTCTTGACGCACAAAAAATTGTCTGTCCTTTCGAAATCTTTACACTTAAAAAGTACGAATACAGTGTGTATCTTTATAATTTCTTAAATGACAATTTATTAAGCCACGCTTCGAACAAAAGAAACGTACGGACATACATTTTTATACTGCAACTCAGTAGTCTTTGAGTCTCATTGTTCGCTTTCCGATTTCACTACATATACATATATAGTTACCACATAGTGTTAAGTATATATGTATATTGCCATTTTGGAGAGTGTGAACGAGTGCTTGTATCCATACACGTATGTGTGTGTGTAACTTTTGTATAAACTGATAGAAGTATGACCATGTGTGTATGAACTTTTTTCATCTAGTGTGTAAGTGTATACATGTGCACCCATGGGTACATACAATATATAAGTAATTATAAGTACTACATAATATAGTTTATATCATTTTTATCAGGTCAACTACAGAAAAAAAATTAGCGTGCACGGCGTATTGATACAGACAGCCAGTATCAATGAAATAGGTTTTTGTTGTATGACATAACTTCCAAATATTGAATAAGACGCCATATCTTGTAAAAGAAGCAGGGCAGAGCTAAAATAATGACTTACACGGTGTCTTTCAGGGGAAAAAAAATCATAGCTCAGAAGAAAAAAGGCGTTGAGTTGTATAAGAACAAACCCTTAATTTTCAATGGTTTTAATATTCATATTAATATTACTCTTTTGAATGAAGGTGAAAGAATTTAGAAAATATTATAGCATATTTACAAAATTGTTACAAATGTGTAGGATATTTTTTTTGTTCTCTTTCCTAAAAATATTCGTAAGATTATAAAATCTTCAACAGATAGCTGAATTGACGAAACATTATCACTCACGTGGGTACCCGCGTGTGAGCAATTACAATATGCACTGTTATTGGTAATAAGCTCTATGTCAGTATGCTCAACTTATATACTTATATACTTATTTATGTTTTGCTAAGATTCGTTTTTTGTTGTTGTATTGATGCATGAAGAACTCTTAACCTCTCACTTTTTCACATACAAATCTGCACTTTTTCTGTTAATTTATACATATTTTGATAACTTTCAAAACTCTGACTTTTGCAGTGCATCTCGCGTAATGCATTCTGTTTTCTTACTTGCTATTTTTCAATGTAACTGTCTAATAAGCCATGTGTAAAACACAACCACATTTGATAAGATGAAACTCTAATTAATTTATACAAAAGAATATATTTAATAAATGCAGGTAAAATCTTAAGGTTCTAATAGTTAACTCAATAGTCAACTAAATTTCACACGTGTTAAAGGTGTGTTGTTTGCAAGTGTAGAAAATAACATTGTGACGAGGATTTTTCAGCCTATAAATAGCCGCCCAGATCCTGTCACAAAGATGCTCTTACGTTCCAATTTTCAACCACTGGATTCTTATTCCCCAAGAGGTTTGCCACAGGTGTTCGGCTCCGGAACGCCAAACACTCTTGAACACAAATTAGAAGGGCGAGAATGGAGGCACTTAGTACAAATGAGCCCGATCACTGATATAAACTTCACAGCACACCTGCGCTATTTATTCGTCCTCTACACACTCTCAAATATAACATCTACACTTTTTCTATCTCTCTTTACTATAAACATGAGCATTAATACGCGGTGCCTTCAAGGTCAGTATGCCACTCGATGTATATGTTTTGGTTATCCTCACTGTCCACGGCTCAGCTTTCGGAGGTCCGCACCTACCTCACACAGACACGCATATACCCAGATGCACCATGTTATGCACACCTCGTAATGGTTACCGTCCTCGCGCGCGTCACTAACCCAATAAATCTTGCACACTCTCACGCATCTCTTACATTCATCCTATCCCCGTAAGTTCTCACACACTTGTTCGCTCAGATTGCCCAGATACCCCTATCTCCGTACCTGACCTGATAATATCCTTACAATTACGATGCACTACCTGGGGCTCGTCCTGGTCTCAGCGGTGGCTCAGTCACATCACTAGCCTTCGGTGACTCCTTTTGTGGGAGCTGTCCTCTCGTCACAATGGCACTCTCCTCCTCTGATTCTTTCTCTCTTTCTCTCTGCTATTCTCTCTATCACCTGTCACCTTTACTGTAACTCTTGACTCTGACCTCTACGCTCTGCTCTCTCTAATGCTTCGTACCATACTGACTGCACTATGCATACAGTCTGAATAGGTGCGCACACACCCCCTTTGCTTTTCACCACCTCTAATGCTCCTAAAAACAGGTAAATCGTTAAAGGTTTTCAAAACTTAGTCTTCGATGAGATGGACTGGCCCTTGATTTGTTCGTAAAGCGTCGTGAGTTTATCCATCGCCCTACTTTTTCTTACACACACACTTACTTAACCATACCTCACACACATTTAACTTCTCTCATGGTCTTTGTTTCTTCTTGCTTCTCTTGGCTCCTAGTCCATAGCACCGAGAACACACATTTAATGATGTATCAAGAATATATCTGTATACCAAATAGATACATTATTATAGGACTCGGTAGCCACCGATGACTTGCCAAAAAATATAGGTATATAGTGACGTGATAGCTTTAGAAACTACGTCACAACATAATAAGATACACAGAGTACGAATGTTGATATTGATACTCCATTAATTAAATTATTTTATTATACTGACAACATCAATGTTAATATCTCCTTTTCAGGAGAGAATTGTTAATAGCAGTATCTTGACACAAAGTTAGTTAAAGTAAGCTTATACTTGTGAGCAGCAGCTAAAAAAGAGAAAGTGTATGAAGTTAGATTTCTAGGTAGGTTCTCGCTTTATTATAGAAAAGACAACTAGAAAGAAAGCAGAAATAGTATCTAATCATTTTTTTTTGTTTTTTTTTTTTTGTCCAAGGAAGATAAAAGCAAGTGTAGAAACTTTTTCTTCCATTTTTTGTTAGCACTGTTAATGTTGATCAACAGAAAATGCATTCTTTGTTCCGTAAAAAATTTTTTTTTACAGAAAAATTATAACTTGCTCCACGTCCAAGTCAGAACTCCAACTGATTTTTTTCGCAAGCTATGTAGTAAATAATATTCCAGTTTCAGTAACACAACTATCAGGAGACTAAATTTTGAATGCAGCCAGAGAGCGTTTTTTTAATTAGTTGCTTAAAGAACTTTTGAAAACTATTATTTCTCTTTATCTTGGGAATTATTTCTCTTGTAAAATGTGAAGTTAGCAATCCTTACAATTATCTTTGCAGACACTTGGTGATGTCATACTATATTTTAAGAAACACTTTTAAAAAAGAATCTCTTCTACAAACAACTACGATGACAAAGGAAAGAAAAGGAAAAAAAAAAATTGTTAGTATAAAAAGCAAACGTAATAAAGAAAAAAAGTATCGTCGCTTACACATATATGTAACCAATTTCTAAAGTAAGTATTTACTACTGTGGTTTCATGGTTTGGAAGCTATGTCAAATGGAATACTTTAATTACTGTACAAGTGATAAATGTCATAATAAAATTTACAGTAGTTTTTTAACATGACAATAAATTACTAGCAGGACTTGGCCCTGATAAGCATCTTGAGTGCCAACCCCTGTTTTTAAATAAGGATGCTTAGATTCTCACGATACCTCTGTTATTTTTCTTCAGAGTC